TGTGTGTGTGTGTGTGTGTGTATGAATATGTGTGCATGTATGTATATATGTGTGTGTGTGTGTGTGTGTGTGTGTGTGTGTGTGTGTGTGTGTGTGTGTGTGTAAGTTCTTTCCTCCCCTCTTGTGAAACTTATTCGTGCAGACATTGTGTTATTCACGCTACAATGTGATCAACACAAATATTAAGAGTAAATCAAAGGCCTTCTGTTGCAGTGACCAGAGGAAGCAACACTTTTCTTGGAGTGTTCATCAAGAGACAGGATGCCAGAAGACAGTTCAGATTACTGGGATTAACAACCTTTGACCTCCTTCACTCCTCTCTTTGTTGTTGTAGCGTTGACACGACTGTCACTTTCTTTGGTTTGACAGAAACTGTGAAGTCGTAGCTAAACTAAAGAATCAAATAATTGTATCATTTAATCAAAACACAAGAGAATTTAAATGATCTCGTGTATTCAGCCAACATCAAAACATCATTATAAACAGGGCTGCATTAATGAAAGGTCCTGTACATAAACATCAAGGGTGTTCAGGAAATTACACTTGATTACATGTTAGTAGGATTTAAAATATCATCCACGTCTAAAGCAGTGTGACTGTTTTGGAGACCCTTTTCATTGTTCTGATGTTTCAGTCTTCGGTGTGCGGCTCTTCTTTCTCCTCCTCCCCCCACACAAACTTCAAGGAGCAATCTTGCATTTTGGAGTTGGACACATCATCAAAATGTTGATTCTGCTCCTTGGTGAACATGTTCTTCCAGTCTCCAATCTGACCTGTGCAGCAGGGAGAAAGGAGGACACGAAGACAACAATAATTAAAAGTTCAAAAACAAATAAACAGAATAAGAGCTTCAGCAAAACCTATTCCACCAATTAAAAATCTCTAGACTTGCTTAATTGTGGTTTACATCCTCTAATTTGATTTAACCCCGAGATGCGTGGAAAATCAGAATAAAGCAGAATAAACTGATCAGAGTCTACCTTTCCTCATGAAGGAGCCTTTGCTATGATCTAGTATCTCCCCAGGGACAAGGGTGTAGTTGATCATCTTGTTGTCCTTCATGCTGCTGAAGCTGCAGTGTTTCACACAGTTGTTCAGCTCATCCTCCAGCAGAGGGCGCTGCAGGAACGAACTCACCCTGTTCATGGTCTCATGTATGTCCTAAAAATCAGAGGAAGCACTCAGTTTTAATCAATTCATGTTGTTTTTTTAACAAAGTGTGTATAAGCTCACCCCTTCCTTCACAAAGAAAACACCCAGGTAGAGAACGATACAAAAAATAATAAATATAACTCTGAATAAAACATGAAGATGATCCTTTACCAGTGACATCTCCTCATAAGTGACGTGAAGCAGATTGAGAGCTGCAGCCTGACTGGTCCAGCCTTTAATGTGCTCAAACCAGGAGCCGTAGTGCACTGAGGAGAGCACGAGCGGAGGAGGCATTAGTTGTTCAGATTACAGTCAGGAAGCACAGAGAAACAAAATCCTGTGTCAGCTCACGTTTGCCCTCCAGGAACTGATCTAAAAACTCCTGAAAGGAGCCGGCTTCAGGGAGGAAGTTTGCCATGTTGTGAAAGTGGTAAAAAGACACCAGCACATCTTTAGGGTTTCTGCTCACATAGATGACCTGCAGGAGAACAAGGAGCGGCACCGTCAGCACGTTTAACCTCTGACCTGGACTTTTAAAGCTGACAGAGATTTTTAGGTTTTAAATTTATGAAAGTGACTTTAGCAACACCATGACTAACGCATGCTCTTTGCACCGTTTTCATTAAAACCATTTTTATTGCTCCACTAAACATCAGCGCTAAAATAAGTGGAACATCATCCACCTTAAGCTTAGGTGTCAATATAAATGTAACAAAATAAAAATATAATAAATATAAGTAAGTATCTGTAAAAATAACTATGAAAATAATAAATATGCCTTGAGGATTTTTGTTAAATTAAATGCAATGTTTTTAAATTTAATCCTGTGTTTTGGTTGATTGATCTTCTTCCAGCCACTCATCTCACCTGGTTCAAGTTATCAATTAACACACCCGTTTACCTAATCAACATGATCAGCGCTTAAAACGTTTACTTGTCCTTCCAACTTGTTGTTTCCCGGCTCTTTCAGCTGAGGCACATTTGAAGGTATTAATCTTTTCGATTCTTCTTTTCTTAGTTTAGTTTGTTTTAATTTGTCCTTAACAACTTTTTTTTTTAATTATTATTTTCACCTTTTTATCCAAGTTCAAGATCAGGCTGTTGATGATGTGAGAATGCACCTCGTTAAAGAATCTCATTGTTTAGAGTAAAATGATTAAGAAGTTTGTGTATAAATGCATTAGAATTATTTGTTTTAATATGATACTTCCCTGGTTTCTCATGTATCACGTTCTCTTAAATGTTATTTGCAAAACACCAACTTTTGTCTGTGATGTCTTAACTTTCTAATCCATTTGGCACGTGCATATATTTTTTTCCGAGAACATTTCATCTCTTTCTGAACCCATTGAACCCTGACACCACAAATGTACCATTTGGCAAAATTGCATGGAAATCGAGCGTGAAATGTGGAAACTATGGACAAATATTAATGCAACAAACTGAACTGAACTTCCACTCTGGCTCTTGCTCAAGATGGTCGCTCCTGCTCTCCCTCCTCCCCGTTCTCCTCTTCCTCCTGCTTCTGCTCCCTGCGTGTCTTGGAGCTCCTGGGACACATCTCCTGAACGAAAAATATTATTATGGATCTGACGAGCTGGACTTTCAACGAAGTCGACAAAATCTTTTCAACATAACGACAGGGTCCTGGAGAACCCTCTTGCCCGGCTGAGACTCACGCTGCAGGGTGCAGCAGAGATCAGCTAATGTGTCGTTCAGTCCTGTCTCAGGAGGACGATGAAGACGTTTATATTTTGGATTTATGATAGCAGGGGTTCTGCTCTTTGACATCGGTGCGACTCTGTTTTATCAACTTGAAGAAGACATCGGCAGCAGTTTCGGCCATGGCAAAGCTTCAGAGTGTGTTTGGTATGTGCTACGAGCTATGGGCTGCACAGGGGTCTGCTGGGGTCGGCCTCCCCACCGTTGCGGACATCTGCGCCTCCGAATGTTTAGGAAGGGCCACCTGCATCATGAAGGACCCCACTCACCCAGCACACACACTTTTTGCGCTGCTCTCCTCGGGAAGGAGGTTGAGGAGCATTAAGTGTAGAACCACTAGACTGAGGAACAGCTTCTACCCTGAAGCTGTTAGACTCATGAATCTCTAACCAGAATAATCACTGTGAAAAATCACATCATGTTGCTGCTGATCTGTTTCATGTTGCTGCTGATCTGTTTCATGTTGATGTGTTCATTCGTGCTCATCTTCTCACACAGACTCATGTTCGTGCTGCTGTTCAGCGTATTGTTTTTATGCTACTAGTGCTTAGTATATTATTTAGTTAATGTTTTTCTTAGTTCATATCTTAGATCTTATTACTGTTTTTCTTTTACATTTTATTGTTGGATGTAACTGTGACCCTGTGTACATAATTTCGTTCCACCACATGTACCACATGGAGTGCGAACGAATACCTTCAGTTTTTAAACAAAAACACAGATGAACAAGTTTGTGCTAAAAAAATAAAAACAATTTATCCAAGAAAAAAGTGAAAGTTAGATTCAGTGTTTTTTTTTCTTTTTTCCAAGTATCGTAACAAAGTTTGCGCTCTATCCACCCAGAATGACTGCACACACACAAACAATGCAACAAAGAGCTCGTACAAGTTGGTATAAAGCCCATCGTGTTCTGGATTTATAAGTGTATAAACACGAAGCTGACCCTGGCTTTGGAGGCCTGGAGGGCAGGGCCCAGCAGGTGATGAGGCAGGTGTGTGGTGAGCACTCGAGGCCTGGAGGGCGAGGCTTTCAGGAGCTCTGCGTGGTAATGGTGCTCCAACCAGGGAGCTCGGGTCCAGTTCGGGACCGTCTGGGATAAGTGTGGATCACCTCTGTTGGAAATGAGAGTAACAATTTCCTGCATCCATGTGGTTCCTGTTGAGATAAATGAAAAATATCAGAGTTTTAACATTTGCACTGAATAATAAAACAAGGCCTTGGGTTGGATTCAGAGAAATGAGAGTATCTTCCTGCAGGTTTGCGAGTCTTGTAAGATGATCAGGACACGCCCGACGTGAGCGGTCCACAAGCGTCTCTGCGTCTGAACGAGCACAGCTGCACACGTGGAAAGCAGTGGTCTTTAACACACGTTGGGTCAAAACGCTGAGCATCATCCCCAGTTTGTAGTTCAAGCAGGAATTAACTGTTGAAGTCAACTTCCTGTCTGTTAGTAAAATATCTCATGAACAATGGGACAGGCTGTCCATAGGGAACCAAAAAATGGCTTTAACTCGGACATTTTAACAGATATTGAGCTACGACTGTAGCAGCTGAGCATCGTCCCAACACAAAGCTTAAAACTCGGGCATGAAAGACAGCGGGCGACAAGCATTCCTCAACGACTGCTGAACCTTTAATTAAAATAGAAATATGAAAAACCTCGTTCTGAACAAATTCCCAGATCTGAATCAGACAAAAGTTAAAAAATGTTGAAGATGACATTTTACAAAATGCAAGCTGGAACTCCAATCTTTAATTTTTAAAATTGTAAAAAAGATCTGAGATTATTAAATCGTGTTCAAATGTTTGACTCCAAGTACAAACCGGATTCCAAAAAAGTTGGGACACTAAACAAATTGTGAATAAAAACTGAATGCAATGATGTGGAGATGGCAAATGTCAATATTTTATTCGTAATATAACATAGATGACAGATCAAAAGTTTAATCTGAGTAAATGTAACATTTTAAAGGAAAAATATGTTGATTCAAAATTTCACAGTGTCAACAAATCCCAAAAAAGTTGGGACAAGTAGCAATAAGTGGCTGGAAAAAGGAAATTGAGCATATAACGAACAGCTGGAAGACCATTTAACACTAATTAGGTCAATTGACAACATGATTGGGTATAAAAAGAGCTTCTCAGAGTGTCAGTGTCTCTCAGAAGCCAAGATGGTAAGAGGATCATCAATTCCACCATTGTTGTGCAGAAAGATAGTGCAGCAATACCAGAATGGTGTTACAAAGCGTAAAATAGCAAAGACTTTTAAGTTATCATCATCAACCGTGCATAACATCATCAAAAGATTCAGAGAATCTGGAACAATCGCTGTGCGTAAGGGTCAAGGCCGTAAAACTCTACTGGATGTTCGTGATCTCCGGGCCCTTAAACGTCACTGCACCTCAAACAGGAATGCCACTGTCAAGGAAATAACAGAATGGGCTCAGGAATACTTCCAGAAAGCATTGTCAGTGAACACAATCCACCGTGCCATCTGCCGTTGCCAGCTGAAACTCTACAGTGCAAAGAGGAAGCCATTTCTAAGCAAGCTCCACAAGCTCAGACGTTTGCACTGGGCCAGGGGTCATTTAAAATGGAGTGTGGCAAAATGGAAGACTGTTCTGTGGTCAGATGAGTCACGATTTGAAGTTCTTTATGGAACACTGGGATGCCATGTCATCCGGACCAGAGAGGACAAGGATAGCCCAAGTTGTTATCAACGCTCCGTTCAGAAGCCTGCATCACTGATGGTATGGGGTTACATGAGCGCTTGTGGCATGGGCAGCTTGCATGTCTGGAAAGGCACCATTAATGCAGAGAACTATGTTCAGGTTCTAGAACAACATATGCTCCCATCTAGACGTCATCTCTTTCAGGGAAGACCCTGCATTTTTCAACACGATAATGCCAGACCACATTCTGCAGCAATCACAACATCATGGCTACGTAGGAGAAGGATCCGGGTACTAAATGGCCAGCCTGCAGTCCAGATCTTTCACCTATAGAGAACATTTGGTGCATCATAAAGAGGAAGGTGTGACAAAGAAGGCCCAAGACGATTGAACAGTTAGAGGCCTGTATTAGACATGAATGGGAGAGCATTCCTATTTCTAAACTTGAGAAACTGGTCTCCTCTGTCCCCAGACGTCTGTTGAGTGTTGTAAGAAGAAGGGGGGATGCCACACAGTGGTAAAAATGGACTTGTCCCAACTTTTTTGGGATTTGTTGACGCCATGAAATTTGGAAACAGATTTTTCCCTTAAAATGATCCATTCTCTCAGTTTAAACTTTTCCTCTGTGATTTGTGTTCTATTCTGAATAAAATATTAGATGTTGGCACCTCCACATCATTGCATTCAGTTTTTATTCACAATTTGTTTAGTGTCCCAACTTTTTTGGAATCCGGTTGCACAAAGTTCATGTCTGTAGAACTGCAACAGTAAAGACGCCAGGCAAGCAAACAAAATCTTAGCTTAATCATCCTGATAGATAACAAAAAAGGTTAAAGTGTGTCAATCGTGGACCAGTTTCTTTAACTCAGGGGTGCCCAAAGTGGGGCCCGTGGGCCAAAGTTGGCCGTCAAGTCGTTTCAGTTGGCCGACCAAGCTGTCCTCATTACTATATAAAAATTTCCTTTGAAGAATCAATGTGCTTACACTCACTGACTCCACCCATTAACTTTATTGTAAGTCAGCCTGCCATAATTTAACTACACGGATTACACAGTAGATAATGTATTTTTTTTTAAAATAATTTTAATTAATATTTTTATATTTCATTTTGACAGACTTTCTACCATCCCTTGGCAGTTTCTTGCCACTGGAGAAAATTTTCCTTTGACAGAACACACTTTTATAAATCACAAAGTGTTTAAAAGTAAATTGTAAATATGAACTGGTTTCAGTGGTGATTTGAGCCTCTTTAAATTTAAACTCAGCACCCCTGAAAAATAAAGCAATCATTACGGAAACAATTCTCAAACGTTAAATTCACAAAATATTGAATAAACATAGAATAAATGAGGACAGTCTCAAAACCAGCCAATAAAATCAGATTTTTTTTTTTTTGCACAAGTCCTGCCACCTGTCAATCAGTCCCGAAGGAACGTCAGCAACTGACCAATCAGCAACTGACCAATCAGCAACTGACCAATCAGCTACCTCGATTTGTCCTGAAGTGAACGTCCCTTACCTGCAGAGCTGCAGCGGTGTCGCATTAAAACTCTTTGCAGTCAGAGATTTCAAGAACAACAGAATTTACATATTTTGTTTCATGTTGGGGGCAGCACGGTGGCGCAACTGGTAGAGCTGCTGCCTCTCAGCGAGCAGGCCCTTGGTTCAAACTCCGGTCATGGGGCCTTTCTGGGTGGAGTTTGCATGTTCTCTCCGTGCATGCGTGGGTTTTCTCCGGGTGCTCTGGTTTCCTCCCACAGACCAAAAACATGCATGTTAGGCTGATTGGTAACTCTAAATTGTCCCTAGGTGTGAGTGAGAGAGTGAATGGCTGTTTGTCTCGTTTGTCTCTATGTGGCCCTGTGATGGACTTGCGACCCATCCAGGGTGTACCCCGCCCCTCGCACAGTGATTGCTGGACATGGGCACCAGCGACCCCCGTGACCCAAAATGGAACAAGCGGGTAAAGAAAATGGATGGATGGATGTTTCATGTTGGTCTACTGTAATAAACTTCTGTAAAATACACCAGAATGTAGGAAATGGCTCTGGGGGGCCTGATTAAGAGACTCCAACAGGAGGAGGGCTTGAAACAGCAGTGAAGGCTACCTATGGGACAGAGCTGGTTGGCAGGCCGTAGACTGATGAAGTCTTAAAGAAACCGGTCCAGATGACACGATTTAACCTTTTTTGTTTTTAAGTCACTGAAGGACTCAAGCTCCTTTACGTGAGACAATAGTTCGGTACAAACCACGTTCACACAACCTGCTGAAAATCCACAGAGCTGCTGCACCATCCCTCCTGATCCACCATAACCCTGCTGAGATTATTTTATTCTGTGATGATCAAGGTCTGTTCTCAGAGTTTGAGATTAAGGTAATTTTTTATTATTTTCAATGTTACCTGCCTACACGTGCAACGCCATCTAGTGTCCAGAATCAGGAACTACAACACAATTTTAGTAAACCATTAAGTTTTTACATGAGGGGAAAACTTAGGTTGAAAGTTGTTTAATTTTCACCTTATTTTAGGCACACAAACCAAAAAGAACTGTAACACAAGTTTCTCTTAACAACTTTAGTTAATACAAAAGCACCTTTGATTGTTCACTGAAGATGGAAATAAACTGATACATTTCTTTAAGACTAATCATCAGCGTTCTCATATTTAAAACACGAAACACTGAAAGGTAACTTGAAAAACATCAGCTTCAATAATAATATTAGAAAGTGTGGAAGCGTCGGTGTACAGTTCTTAATAATAATTACAGTGACCTATAAGTTTAACAAAAATTAAAAATGCCGCCATATTAAACTTTTTTTTTTCAGTCTGAAGCATTTAAACATTGTTTGACTTCATTTTAATAATAAAGTCTGAACCTGAGCAGAAAAGTAACCTTAATAATAATTCATTCATCGTTCGTTTCATTGTTTTTGTTGTTGTCTTCACACTAGTCATGCAGCTCGTTAAGTTAAATATTTGCCTTAACGAGGCTCGTTAGTGGTTTAAGATTAAATAAATTTTGACTCATCGTAACCAGCGAGCAGTTCATCATCTGGTGCCCCTGTGAGTCTAAGGGTTTGGGCTCCTCAGTTCTGCTGCGCTGCCGACGAGGCGGACGATAGTTTAAATCTTCTGAATGATTCTGGGGAGAGGATATAAACAGTATCTTACCTGTTGTAGATGGCTCTTAATGACTCAGTTTGGAGCCTAATCCTGACTGGATTAACAGGCGAAGCTGCTCAGACAAGCTGTTAGCTTGTCAATCAAACCATTTCTCCAAACTGGGGTCATTCAAAGAGCCATCTACCCAGGCAAGATATTAATTGTTCATTTTTCCACAGAACTCCACTTCAAAAAAAATCTAAATGATCCTTTTCATGAAACATGCATGTCTCAAAAAGCAAACAAACAAAAAAAGAGCTGCAGCCAACGCTGATGTCACAGGAACATGACGGACATAACAAGGAGACAAATATGTTGGAGAAAAACCAGCCGAGCCTTCGCTCTAAAGGTGCGCTCAATTCTAGCTGAAGTCTGTTCTTTATCAGAGGAAGTGACGAGCTTTCAATAAAGCTGATCACAGACTGACTGAGGTATTTTCCGAAGAAGTATTCAAAGTGTGAGGCTCTGGTTACGACAAAACTTCCCTCCGTGTCTCGTTCTTTTGAGCGCCATTGTCTGAAAGCAGAGGAGCAACAGCGGGAGCTGCGATCCTGTACGGCAAACTGTCTTTCGTCAACATCTTCCTGGTGGCAGAAACCAGGCGGGAATAATTATCGGGGTTGTACTCGGACTTGGGGGGCTGCGTGCAAAGCAAGGGGAGGTGGTCTCTGTCAGGCCGGGACAGGAAGAGAGGCGGGCGCCGCTGGCTCTCGCCCTCCTTCAGGGAGTCTGGGAGCGACTTGCGTTTGCTCTCAGGTAGGAGCATAATGCAGAGAACCGAGAGGACAGCGAAGGAGGCGAAGATGACGTGGTGCAAGAAGTAGCCGCCGTTGTTCTGGAGCTCCATCAGGGAGGAGGCGGCCATGCCGACACAACCAGCTGCCAACACCAGGCCGAGGCAGCCGCCCCTGAAAGAAAACGCTTCGTCACGAAACTTCAGCTACACAGGTGCATCTTAATTAAGAGTGGAGCAACACGTCCGGTTCGCATTTCTGCAACGTTCCTGCCTCTTTCTGGGGGAAACATGCCCTCCTTTTCCAAGGTGAACTTAGTTCCTGGGTTGCCAGATAGGAAATGAAGAACCATTATTGTGTTGCTTTAAAATTATTGCTTTTTGACCCAAACTATCACATGTGCTGAGTGAGGTGCTCTTTCTTGAAGGAGGGAGGTTGTAAGACGTTTGTTGTGCACGTGCACAGAGAAAGGTCTAGACGGGGTAATTGTCATTTATCTGGCAACTCTGCTTTGCTAAATAAACTTCCTCAAATAGTGCATCATTACTTCGAAGCTTTAAAGTGCCGCAAATTTATCGTCTGTCAGGCAAGGAGTGACTATTGTTACCGTCAGCAGGGTTTTATAGAAATTCATAAATATGGATTTTAATTAATCAGATTAGACGAACGACACACCCAGTGGTCTGAGGAGTTGAACAGAATCCAGAGGATATTTCTCATGCTCGTCGTGTTTTATCTCGATGAAGTTGGTTTATTTTGCTGTTTCAGCTGTTGGTTGTGAATGGAAGTTTACAGAAAACTAACTTAACTATTATTCTTCAAGGTCTGATAACACGTGGCTGCAGATGCACGTTTAAATACAGTAGTCCCTCGTTTAGCACGAAACCGCAAAGTAGGAATAGTAGTACAAGTAGTAGTTTATTATATATATATATATATATATATATATATATATATATATATAAAGCATTTTAAACCCTTCCCACATTCTTGCAATATTCTAAAAAATGTTTCTAAACTCTAAACGCTCTAAAAGAGCACAGAATGTCATGATTTCATCTCTCTGCCTCTGCTGCTCTCAGCCACCTGCAAGTGCTCTTGGCCACGCCCACTTCTCCATGCTGCATGGAGAACAGCTGATCAGCTGCAGCAGGAAGTTTATCCTGCAGTGTGGGCTGCACAAAGCTGCAGGAGGTGCTAAATAAATTTAAAATAATTTATTTTGAATAAAAATTTCATGTCGATCGTGCGGCTCATCCATCAGTCAGACAATTGTGTATCATGTCTACTCTTATTTTGAAAAACCGTAGTCTGCAATAAATGAACCACAATGTGGCGAGGGACTACTGTATTTTGCCTTGGTGGAAAAAATAATACGTGAGGTTTAAAATTACTAAAAAGTCCAAGTCCAGTTTCAAGTACAGTAGTCCCTCGTTACTTCGTGGTTCATTTATCGCGGACTGCGGTTTTTCAAAATAAGATTGGATAGACACACAATTGGCTGACTGATGGATGAGCCGCACGATCGACATGAAATTTTTATTTAAAATAAATTATTTTTAATTATTTAGCACCTGCTGCGCATTTGTGCAGCCCAGAGCTGCTGGATAAACTACCAGCTGCAGCTGATCAGCTGTTCTCCTGCAGAGTGGGGAAGTGGGCGTGGCCAAGAGCGCTTGCAGGTGGCAAAGAGCAGAGGAGGCAGGAAGCTGAAATCATGACATTGTTACGTTATAGAAACATTGTTTAGAATATTGCAAGAACGTGGGAAGGGTTTAAAACACCTTATGTATCTATCTATCTATCTATCTATCTATCTATATATATATATATATATAGATACTGTGTGTGCGTGTGTTTAAATAAGAAAATAAAGTACTACTTACTATTTGTACTACTATTCCTACTTCTGGTTTTTTCACTTATCACGTCTTCAGGGTACAGAACCAGCGATAAATGAGGGTCTACTGTTTAAGTAACTTCTGACTCCTCTTCAGCCGATTAAATTTTCTGAAGCGGCGACGACTTGTACACAGAGTGATGAAGCTGCTGAACCTGTTGACCCTTTAAACCTCCTCTGCAGCTGCACTAAAGACAGATCTGTTATCGTCCCTCTCTGTTTAAAGATGCAAACAAAACTGAAGTGGGTTTCATTCGTTCCGACATCACTGTTATTTTCACGTTGACGGCAGCAGTTTCACGCCGCTTGTTTTCTCCTAACACGCGGGGCACGGTGTGACGGCGCTCCACCCTGACACCAGCATCAACAACAAAACGCTCGATGCTCACCGGACCACAGTCGGCATCACCTCGGAGGCGAAGAAGGTACTGAGCATGGCGAGAGCCTGAGAGAAGAGCAGACCCACCACAGAGAGCACCAACACCAGCCCGCCTCGGAGATCTGACGCACAAAACACAGAGACAAGTTCTGTCAGTCCACAGCAGAGACCTAAAGGGACAGTCCGCCCATTTCTTCAACAGCTGTTTTGGTAAATAGTTATCAATAATTGTGTGAATGTTTATGAAGCATTCACTCTATTGCGATCCATTTTTCTTCCGTGCGTTTTTCAGCATCTTTCTTGTTCCACAATTTTTGTGCCATTTCAACAAATCATAAATCAAAACGTTCAGCTCTTTCAGGACAATCCTGCTGATTTTTGGTATTGATGCAACTTTAGCTTTTTGAAATATTTAGCCTTTTCTGACACTTTTTTTTTCTCTCAAAGAAAATGAGTTGAGCTCATTTTACATCCTTCAAGTCTTCAGATCAGTTTACAAACTTTCACATTTTGTTTAAAATTTAAACTTTTATTCAGCTACTTTCAGCTACTTTCAGCTGTTTTGTGCTCCTTTTAGATTTCTTTCTGCTAACTACATTTTTCTGCTTCTTCTAACATCTTTCTGCTACTGGTAATTAACTTGTGCTCCCTTCTGCTTATTTATGCAAGTTTCAGCCTTTTCTGCTATTTCAGCAACTCTTTAGCTGTTTTTATGCTTGTTTCAGCTTTTTCAGCCAATTCCACATTTTCTTGCACTTTTAACTTTTTTGTGCTCTCTCAACTTCCTTCTGGTAATTTAAGCTTCTTTCAGCTGTTTTTTACTACCATCTTTTTTCAGATAATTTCCTTTTTTTGTGATAATTTCTGCTACTTTCAGCCTAATTGGGCACAATTGTGCACTCTCCACTTCCTTCAGGCAATTTAAGCTTCCATCTACCTTTTCAGCTTTTTTTGTGTGCTAATTTCAGCTTTTAGAGCTAATTTCCTTATTTTGGTGCTCATTTCTGCTTATTTAAGGCAAATTCAGCAAATGTGTTTTTTTATCTCTCCTGCTACAAAAACAGAAAAACTTTGCGCTGCTAAGCACAACATGTTTCTATCTCGTGTACCAGCTGCACATGCACTAATCAACACGTGTCTCTAGTCCTGTCTCCTAATTACCGCACTTGTTCAGATTCGTTTAGACGTCTGTTTGTATTTTGTGTATCTGCGCTGTTTTGTTTTGCACGTTATGTTCCGTGTTGCACCGTGATCCTGGAGGAACGCAGTTTCTTTTCAGTACGTACTTGTACGTGGCTGAAATGACATCAAAGCTCTGACCGTGACGTACACTGGGTGAGGGCCAGCAGCAGCAGCGACGACAGCCCCGTGATGATGGCGGACAGCAGAAGCATTCCACGCCGGCCGAAGTGATTGACGGACAGACAGACGAAGACGCAGGCCAGCACTCCCGTGATCACTCTGAGGAAGTAGGTGAAGTAGAAGTTGGAGGAGTGAAGGTGCAGGTTTCTGGTGAAACAGTACTGGATGCCGGTTCCGATGAAGCTGTGCGACATTTTCATAAAAAATTTTTAAATTAAAATCAGTTTTTATTTAAAGGACGTCAGGAAACATGTGCTACTATTATTATTCAAAAACTACAAATGAATTGTATCACTTCTACCTTTTTTAAAATATGTATTTGTGGCCTGCTTATAAGGTGAAGTCAGGGAAATCTTTTATTTTTTATAAAAACTTTACTTTTTTTCCTGCATGCTTTTCCCCCCCAGTTAAGAAAAAGAATCTGCAGCTCTCAGCAGTAACTTTACACAAACAGCAGCAAAGAAAGTCTTTATCGCCGAGTGTCAAATGGGGACCTGCAACCATGACTGTGTTTGTTTGTTAGCAAAATATCTTATGAACCACTGGACACAGTCATATAAAACTTGTAGGAAGTAATCACTGGACACATCTACAACTGATTAACCTTTGGAGTCAAGCCTTCTTAAGATTGCCACCACAGCTAACTAACTTTAAGAAATACAAAAAGGCTATAACTCAGTCAGTTTGATAAATATTGAGCTAAAATTTGATGCTTTATTCGTTATAGAACGTAACTTTGGACCACTCAGCAGCAGTCCCAGGCGAGACGCTTCTGACGTTGTCAGTTGCTCAAAAGTGGCTTGACACAAGGAATGCAACAGCTGAAACCCACGTCTTGCATACGTCTGTGCGTGGTGGTTCTTGAAGCACCGACTCCAGCTGTAGTCCATTCTTTGTGAATCTCCCCCACATTTTGGAATAGGTTTTCCTCTCCAGGGTGCGATTATCCCTATTGCTTGTACGCTTTTTTTCTACCACATCTTTTCCTTCCCTTCTCTCAGTTAATGTGCTTGGACACAGAGCTCTGTGAACAGCCAGCCTGAGAGACCTTTTTAAAGGCCTTTGCAGGTGTTTTGAGTTAATTAGCTGATTAGAGCGTGGCACCAGGTGTCTTCAATATTGAACCTTTTCACAATATTCTAATTTTCTGAGACACTGAATTTGGGGTTTTCATTAGTTGTCAGTTATAATCATGAACATTAAAAGAAATAAATATCTGAAATATATCAGTCGGTGTGTAATGAATGAATATAATAAACAAGTTTCACTTTTTGAATGGAATTACTGAAATAAATCAACTTTTTCATGAGATTCTAATTTTATGACCAGCACCTGTAATTGTAGCTTGTGCTACGTATAGTTTCAATACCAGTATTAAAATTTTAGCATCGATACTGACAATATTTGACAAGTTAAGCCTTTAAGTATTTTTGAACCCAAACGTCCTTCTCATCTTTCCACATCTCGTTTTATTTGGTCATCAACGTCAAATCTCTGCAGGAGTCAGAACAGAGAAGTTTTGAGGAAATCTTTAAAAAACTCACAGAGTGAAGCTGAGAATGAGGCAGTTTTTCCAGATGACGCGAGTCCGACGCAGCTCCAGGACTGAGTAAAACCTCGGCTGGCAGTCCTCACTATACAATAAATCTATCTCTAAAAAAATAAATAAAAAAGAAGTTGGTATTTGAAGGTAAATTTACAGCAAATTATTCAATTATTAAGGAAAGTGTGCAAACATTTTAAGCCTCTTCTTTGCCTCTACAGCTTAAATGATACTTTATTTTATTCATCGCAACAATATATTTTTTTTAAAAGTGTAGAAATGACAGCATAAAATCAAATTAAATCTACTCAGAATCATTATTTTCCTCTTGTAGACCTTAAAGGAAAACATCAGTCAAAATCTCAAGACACACGGAAACAAACATCTTTGTTGTCGTCATTTCTAAATGGATGCAAAACTTATAAAACCTCAGTCCTGGTGTCCGAGACCATGAACGTTTTCTAAAATAATCGAATGAGGTTAGCGCGTGAGACATAGGCCCATAAACTCGTATTCACTACGCAAAGTAGTGGTGTCGCCCCCTGCTGGTCAGAAACAAAAACACAGATTCAAGTAGTTTGCAACAATTTTTAAATAAAAATGTCATAATTGGTCATAATTTAACAGTTTTTGAGCCTAAAACAGCACGTCGTCTCCACATTTCTCCCTGCTGAGCTTCTGTCAAATAAACAACAAAATGTTGATGGTAGCAAATGAAAATATCCCTCAAATGACAACAAAGCTGTCCATTTTTAGTTTAATAGACTTTTTTCATTAAGATCAACCAAATTACGCTCAGGCGTAATTTGGTTGATCTGGCTTGGATAAATGTAGTTTAGGTTCTTTATACTGACAGAATTAGTCAGAATTGCTCTTCAAACCAACATTTAATGCGTTTCAAATAAAAACTGGTCTGAGCAGGTTTGTGATGAAAGAACTGGATGAATCGTTGTGGCTCGTAAACAAACTTTAATATGTTTGTACCGGACATCAGGGTTTCCCCGGGGAACATCTCGTCTTGCCGACACACGCCGTTCCTCACGGCGAACTCCTGGAGGCTGATCTTGGCCTCGGGAATCTGATCTGTGGCCAGCAGCCAGCGAGGAGACTCGGGAAACAGCGACGCACAGCTGAGGAAAACAAAAAGAACGTTTCGTGCAGTTTCGTGCGATATCAGGAGCGCGCGCTGGGGATGACTATCAGCTACTGCCAAACCAACCCGTCCGCTCTGACTCACCACCAGTAAGGAAGCAGCAGGATCAGGGGCACGGTGGCCACGGCCTGCAGAATCGGCCAATCGCGGCACAGAACGGCGACGCCCGGCAACAGCAGCTCCGCGGACACGGCGAAGAAGCCGCCGACCATGGCGACCATGAGACGATGGGGAGGGTCGCAGAGCTCCAGCCCTGAGGCAGAGACAGAGTCAGGATGTAGGGTCGGCCCAAAACTGAACAGAACAAGCGGCTTCACGCAGAACCGGGTCCGTTTCCTGTCGTAAAACTCACGTCAGCGCCGTTCTCACGAGTTAATAAAACACTGAATGAATGTGTGATTTCAACTAAATTATTATTATTATTAATATTCTCCTCTGCACTTTTTGAAGCAGGACAGAGTTGTCATTTAGAGAATTTTCACATTTATTTTCTGCAAAAGTCTTTTTTTTATATTTTAACATTCTTAAAAGCAATGGTTTTAAAATCTGAAACTGATGTTTGGTATATTCAGCTTGTGCTGTTTGTTGCTGATAACTGTGGATTTTTACGTGTGTTTACCATTTTTATTACAGTTTTCTTGTTTTTTTATTATCATTTTTGCATGTTTTGAAATCAAACTGCTTCGGCCATTCAAACATTAAAACATTCGGCTCCGTTAGGAGATGTCTGCTATGACTTTTCTTTACCTAACTTTAATATTTGTGAAAATATTTAGCTTTATTTACAAAGATTTTCCCCAGATCTCTTCAGTTCCCTCAAAACATTGTTTCATTTGAAATCTGCTACAGCAAACGCTCTGGGTTTATCTTCCTATGCTACTTTTAGCCTGTAGCTACTGTTCTGTTGTTTTTTGCTTTTAGCTACTGTTGTGGTACTTTTGGGTTTTAGCTACTGTTTTGGTACTTTTGGGTTTTAGCTACAGTTTTGCCAGTATTAAATTTAGTACACATGCTGTTAACTTCAGTTACAGCTTGGTTAAATTTAGCTTTTATCTACAGTATAGAAGTTTTAGCTGCAGCTTAGCTAAATGTAGCTTTTAGGTGAGGTTTTGCTAATTTTAGCCAATGTTTTTCCTGAATTTAGCTTTAGTATCGATTTTACTAAATTTGCCACCATTTGTTTGGTCATTTTACTAACTGTACTGCTATTTTTAGCAATTATCTACAGTTTTTAATTTTAGCTTTGCTAAAATTAGCTTTTAGCTACAGTTTTTGCCACTTTCAGCTATGGTTTTGCTTATTTTAGCCGTTACCCATGGCTTTACCTATTTAAGCAAAGGTTTTGTTAAATTTAACTTTTAGCTATTGTTTTTGCTCATTTTAGCCTTTAGCTTCAGCTAATTTTAGCTTTAGCTGTGCTTGGTTTTAAATCAGTGGTTTTGTTGCGGCTCCTTCAGCGCATGTCAGAAGTTTTTGGTACGCGGCGTTCACACTGTATCTTCACAGAAAATGCCCATTCTTTTAGCTCTAAAAAAGTCTTTCTATCTTTAGCTACTTTTTGTAGTTTCCACAAATATTCCGCAGTCTTTTTGAATCTCGTGTGCTGAAGTTGCCAGACTGTGCTGTAGCGAGCCCGTTTCTGCTGAACTTTGTCCTCGTTCAGCTCCGATTCTCTGAGCACCTCCTTCCTGTCAGGGTGGGGTGTGACTGAGGGGTGTGTGTGGGCACTTCCTGTTTGAATCCAGGCCTTCGGCTGTGTCCCGTCATTGTTTTCTGCTGTTTGTGAAGCAGTGAAAACTTTCCCCTCGGGTCGTCACTCCCCCCCAGCCGAACATCTGGCTGACGTTAAATGAAAACACGAAGGAGCTCCTCTGGAATCAGATTTCCAGGAATGTGGGAGTACGTAAAGATGAACCTTTTGTGTTTATCTGGTTTAGGATTTCAGGTGGTACCACGGTCACATTTTACTACCCAGGATTACTTCATCCTCCAGAGAAACGGTCTCAGTTAATTTAAACCAAATATTTAACAGAAACATCTGAGCTCTAAAGGAGGACTGGGCCTGCGAGGTCCAAGTGAATACACATTTCATTGATCTGAGAGAAAACAGTTTGAAGACATTTTAAAGTCTTAATATAATTACGTGTCCTCTGGTCTGAGGAGCCCATTTAATAAAAATCACTAAATTATTTCAAGTGACAAACTCGAGCTGCACAGAAAGTCACGAGGAAAAACAAAGAGAGGGAGAAAAACTATAAACACAAGATACGACTGTTCTATTTACTGTTTTAATCTTTGAAAACGTTCAACCTTTCTCCGATTAGTGACAGAATATTAATTGTTGCGTGTATTTGTCACTGAACTGACTCGGTCGTGACTTTCAGCCAGCAGAACTAAAAGTTTGAGACGCTTCAGCCGTTTGTGTCCTCGAGTGAGGAGAAGATAAGAACCGGCTCCGGGTTGCTTCGGCTGTGACTCAACAAGCTCTTCTCTCATCGGTTACTGATAAAACAGCGAGCGCACGTTTGTTTGTTTTCTTCTGTGCGACGTTGAAAACATCCGAACTATGTGAAGATTGTGATTCCAGGCCAGGAACCACATGGATTTAATTTATCGCTCGAACGTCGTGCAACGTTGACGTAACGGGCTGAAGACACCGACCGTCTGAGCCACGAACAGAACCAAACGATGGGCAGTGAAACCACGACACTGTGAATGTGTCGGGATTTCCCTCCATGACTCAGCAGTTTTAACTGAATACACAGTAAAGATCACGTGTGTCGAGTTTTCCATCTCAATCTGCTCCTTTTTGACTTTTCCCCCATTTAAATAATTTAAATTCAATAAATTAGCATCTGAACTTTTACGAAGTGTCACAAAGCTCCCTTTCATCTAAAAGAAGCGAGTTGTGTCTCTTTACCCAGTCATCTATTAAATGCATACCAGCTGCCATCTTTCAAGCTCAAGTTTCCAACCAAGACTTTGGGTTATTGATTAGTGCTCAGATTACATGTTAGGGATCAGACCTGGCTACCACCACACCAAATTTAAACTCAATAACTGTAAAATCGACCGAGTTATAACCATTTTTGTGTTTGTTAAGGTTAATTAGCGGCAGTGGCCATCTTAAAACAAGCTGACTCTAACAGTTAATCAGTTCTAGACATGCATGGAATGAGTAATTACTGAAGGTTTCATCAATATCCGTCCAGTGGTTTAGGAGGTATTTTGCTAACAGACAAACAGGGTGGACTCTTAACAGTTAACGCCAACGTTTTGAACAAAGATCTCAAGCGATTCGTTGGTGGTCCGAGTACGTGTTGGGGATGACCCTCAGCTACTGCCACGTCACATTTTAACTCAGTATCTGGAAAAGTGATCGAGTTAAAGTCATTTTTGTGTTTGCTAAAGTTGAAGCAGTGGCGGCCATCTTGAATGGGGCTAACTACAAAATTTTATCATAAGTAGATTACCATCCAGTGATTGGTTTCTAAAAGTTTAAATAAAATCTGCCCAGTGGTTCATGAAATATTTTGCTAACAGACAAGCACACTACACAATCGTCCACTTTCAGAGCAAAAAGCTGGATTCTTCGGCTGAGCTGGCCCCTCTGGACACTTACTGGAAACGTAGGCGGACACGAACATGCCGGCGAGCATGGTGCCCTGACAGAGGCGCAGCAGCAGAAACATCACGGCGCTGCTGGACAGACACACGGCCATCCCGAACACGCCCGACAGACTGATGGAGAGCAGGAAACATCGCCGACGACCCAGCCTGACCACAAATACACACGAAGCCTGAAACCACCGCCCTCGAGCGTTTACGATAACACATTTCATATTTATTTATTAATCACTCACCAGTCACAGATCGTACCCAGAAAGACGTATCCCACAATCCACCCTGTCATGAAGCAGATGTGCTGCAGGGGGATCTTCCAGTAATCGCTGCAGACCAGGTTCCACTGCAGAGGACGAGAACGGGTCAGCTCACATGAACTGTGCACAACCCAACGAAATGAGCCCAATTCGCTTCAACTGATTTATAGAACAGCACCAAATCACAACACAAGTCGTCTCAGGTCGCTGAACAGGAACGTTCACATAGAAAAGCCACTTAGTAAAGTTCTCCATCTAAAGATGGAAGCCAGCAGACGCGTTGACTCTTCACTTCGCCGCAGTCTCCCACATTGGGCTGGGCGATATATCGATATTTTAAAAAATATCAATAACATTTAATTCACGATATAAAATGAGACTATATCGATATAAAACGATATAGTCTTGCACTCTACCTACAGTTAATAAATCTGCCAGATGTTTCCTCCGTCACCTTAACGCCACCCCTCCTGATTTTTCCCTCACCTGAACACAAGCCGGCCCCTCCCCCGCTGCTTGCAGCACCCGAACACTATTTGAATTACAAAGCTGAGCGTAGATATGCAAATATGTTTGTTGACTCGCAGTGGGAGAGAAGTGATGGGTGTTAAAAGTAGCTGCTACAAAGCAGAGGTTTGGTGTTCTATGAAGTTGTCTTCTCGTTAAAAAGCACGGAGACAAATATCCAGTTTAGGGTGAAAGAAAAAACTTCAACTGCACTTTCAGAGTCAGAAGCTTTGTTAATAAAGGTTGAATGAATATACTTCATTACAATCAGACTTCAGGTCTATTAATTAATCAGGGTACTGTAAAACAGTGAAGTACTAAAAACAAGAACATGCTTTGATTTTCTATGGACATCATCAAATGTCTTGAAACTTGTATTTCTATATGTAATAAATGTCTAAAAAAGACAAACTTAAATATATGTCAATAGTTTATTTTTTAGACATTCATTTTGTACAGTTACAGCTGTTAATAAAAGTGCCTGTGTGACAACTGGGACAAAGCTTCGACTCTGAAATCTATTTTTGTTATTACTTTATGGAAATAAAAATTAAAAAAAAAAAAATCGATATATCGTATATCACAATTTATTTTAAAATATCGAGATATTCATTTAGGTCTATATCGCCCAGCCCTACTCCCATACATTTGTAACATCGGTCAATTCATCTGTGAGTTTTTATAAATTGCAGATCGCACTCAGTGGGATGAACCCGTCTACACAAAGCTTGGATGAAAATAAATCTACCGATTTTATGATTCGCATTATTAGATTCTGTTTTTAGTGAGTGCAGCGATCGAACGGTTTTCTTCTCCGTCTCAGGAACGCTGCAGTGAAGCTGCATACTTCTGACGGACTTCCAAGTCATTAACTGGTTGGTTCCACACTGGTCCTCCCACAAACAGTCGCATGGCTTCGGTCGTTACATCCAGAGTGAAGCGGTTGTAGATGCCCGCCAACCCGGACATCAAAGTAGGCCTGGCCATCCAGGATGTAGCGAATGTCATCAAGTGGAAATGCTCCTCAGAAAACATCTTCAGCTCATCCTCATCGTTGTGAATTTTAATAACGTCCATGTCGGAGTAATCTTGATCTTTGCGGACCCTCTCCAGCTCTGGGTCTGTTTCATAAACATCAGCTTCCAGTAGAAAACTCCCAACTTCTTCAACTCGTTTAAAGGAAACGGGCTGGTTTGGTCCCGTGCAGCTTCCTTTGGTCCTCGTCAGAACGGTCCACGTACTTAAACACTACGAACACTTTCTGAGCTCTGAAGGTTTTGACTGACTTTCCTTTTATTTTGATAAATCCTATAGTTAGGGTTGGCTTGTTATGCTGCTATATGTTTAAACTACTAGAGGACAAATCGACCTCATTTCCTTAAATGAACTGTTAAAATTGAATAGTTTTCATTTGATACTATTTCTATCTTAATGTGTCTTGACCTGCCATTGTGTATCTGTTCTTACCAAACCCAGGCAGTCGAAGCAGATGTCCGCTTCTCCTGATCCTGGTTCTGCTAAAGGTTTCTTCCTCACGAGCAGGAGTCTGCAACCTTTATCATCAAAAGAGCCATTTCTGCCCCTTTGCTCAATAAATAAAATGTTTATGGAGCCGCAAAACCTGCTAAAACTGTGACAATCAACTGGTGGCCCATGGCCCGCTTCAAGCTTGTTAAGGGGGCTTTTCCAGCCAGTATGTGTGACATTATGAAACTAAAATATCAAATTATTATTTATATTTATTAATATTTTAGGGCAAAAGAAAATACTGGATTTATGTAAAGAATTTTTTTTTTTTTAACCAATTTTATAAAAATGCAAGCACAAGTTTGCAGGTTTATGTGACTTTTCCTTTTAATTGTGGAAACAACTAATGAAGCATCTTATTATGAAGTAATAAAGCATAAAGTTAAACATTAGTCCAGTTTGTTGGGTACTTAATTGAAATTTTAAAATGAAAATATTTCAATTTACTTTGTTTTTTTCTTAAATTTTTATTATCAAGTGTACTCACCATATTTCTCCTCAGCAACTTGCCTTAAAAGGTGTTATCAAAATCCAATCCAAGATTATGCTTTGTGAGTTTTTATATCATTTAAAAGTTTAGTTTCCTCAAATGAATGGGGTGGCAAAATAGTAATCTGTGGTGGGCAAGGCCACCATTGGCCACCCTCTGGCTCCACCATTGCACCAGATGATGGATAAACCTTCACTCTCCAGGATCTGTCACTCTGCGCTGCCTCGGCTCAGCAAAAAACAAAAACCTTTATTCTTGTACGGGAACATTAAGGTTTACTCACATTCCCTGTTCAGATCAGTCCAGAAATACTTGAAAAACTCGTCTAGAGTACTACAAACATTCACTGTTCAAATCCCTCGGCGACATTAAATGCAGTAAAGTTAAACTATAAGACACAGCAACACTAAACTCAATATCTGTAAAACTGGTTAAAGTCACTTTGTGGTTGTTGGCTGTGGCGGCCATCTTGATATGTGCTGACTCCAAAATGAATTCAGTCGTAAACGCACATCCAACGATTAATTTCCTGAAAGTTTCATTAATATCCGTTCAGTGGTTCATTAGATATTATGCTAACAGACACAGAGTTGATTCCAAAAGGTTAATGGCAAAATCCTAAACAAAGATCTTGTCCAATCTATTGATGCTCAGAATATGTTTTTGGGATCACTCTCTGCTGCTCACACAACAAAACTTAGCTCAATATCTGCAAAATTGATCGAATTAGAGCCGTTCATGTATTTTTTTTAAAGGTCGGTTGGCTGTGGCGGCCATCTTGAATCAAGCTGACTCCAAAAGTTAATCACTTGCACATTTAATTATTTATCGGAGGTTCCGGCGGCGGGTGATAAAATGATTAAAGCGCTGCAGCAGCAACAAAATACGAGCAAAGCGCCTAAATTTCTAAAGGAGGAGAAAACATTCAGTAAAAATCTGCTCGGAGTAAATAAACATGAAGGAACAGCTTCGTTCAGCAGCGCAGCGTCACGAGGATCGTTGTGAAGAAGAGGAATTCAGAACATGTTGTTCCTTATTAAGTTAACATCTCCGCTGACACGGATATTAGATCAGCAGGAGAAAAAAAAAGTGCTCAGAGTGTCTGAGCGCCCGGCTGGTACCAGACACCGAAGGATGGGAAGTTCTTTCCTGTTCCCTTCTTATCCTCCTTTATCTGAAAATGAAGAACAGATTTTACACTCGCTGATAATTTGTCCAGAAAAGATTAAATCGCTGAAATATTCAGGACTATTAGGAAGTTCAAAGACTATTTAAGTGAATAAAATTCTCCTGGAATAAAAACACCAAAACATGTTTATGATTATTAATCCAACTTCTGCCGTTTTAGACCATAAAAAGTCTATAAAACGAGTTTTTGTTTATTTTAAAAGAAATATTTGATATTTGACGATTTGACTCTTAAAATGGTTTCATCTTTAAAGCAGCAGAAAAAATACAACAGAGAAAAATACCAAGTGCAAGACAAAGGTAATCACGTAAATGTCTTTGTTGATGCACGTGTCCGTTATCAAAATATCTTGCTCTCGCTCAAGGCGGACACCTTCTCCTCTCCCTCCTGCTTTTGCTCTCTTTGTGTCTCGGAGCTCCTTGTACACATCTTCTGAACAAAAAATACTATTATGGATCTGGTGAGCTGGACGCAATCGACAAAATCTTTTCAACAAAACGACAGGGTCCTGGAGAGCCCTCATGTCCTGCCGAGACTCGCGCTGCAGGATGAATCGGGCATCTGTGGGGAGTTTGGCAGCTGATGTGTCTTTCAGTTCTGTCTCAGGAGAACGCCGAAGACGTTTATATAATTGGATTCATGACAGCAGGGTTTCTGCTATTTTAGCATCGGCGGGGCTCTGTTTTATCAACTTTTGAGGCAGCAGTTTCGGTCATGACAAAACTGCCAAGTCTGTGTGAAGGTTTGGTTTGTGCGACGAGCACTCAAAATCAGCTGATTTATGAGCTAAACTGTAAGATTGAAGCGATTTGCGAGAATCACAGACCACCTGAGACTTCTAGGACTCACCAGTATGTTGGAGTCGACCTTGAAGAAGGCTCATAGCACGGATCAGTAGAATGCCCATAAATCTGTTCATTATGGATCTGAAAAGTACCAGCAGGACTCAAGGCTGACAAGAAAAAACAGTCTGCCTGAAGAAAGTCAACAATTGTGTCTTATCTGAATCTGACTCCCCTGTTTGGCCTCAAATGCGGGCCGACTATCAAATTTCTCCTGGGACATGGGTAAACTAAGGAAAAAGCTTCATTTATCGCAAATTCCCCAAGAGCTTCTGTGCAGGCTTATCAGAACTGCCGGCTGGAAAAACAACATCTCATCAGGACTAAGCCCTAACTGGAAGTGCTTCATGGATAAATCTCAACGTCTTGTTGTCAAATGCATATGTAATGTGTTTATAAATGTGCTGACTGGTAGAGCTTTTTGATGTCTCAAATCGTGTCCTGATAGGACAAGATGTGAATAGATCTTTTTTTTTGTAATACCACTATCATCCTCATGGCCTTTTACTTTTTTCCTATCTAAAAAGTATT